GCAATGCTGCAACCAAATATGATGGCCAACACGGTAGAGTACCATGAAGCGTACGTCGAAGTGATAGAAACACTTCCTCAGTGGTCAGATGGCCTGGCCATATCTCAGATATATGCCACACTCCTCACTCAACTACCGCTACAACCATGGAAAATTGTCGCTTTGTCACATCGGTATCTCCAACATCGCCACCTCCAACACTTCCTCAAGTACACGATCATTGTCAACCAGCTATGGGTATGGTACACCAATCGCGAAGTGGATCGTGATCATCAGATGACATGGAGCGACACGTATGCCATGTTGAAGAATGTTGCGACATTTTGCCAAAACAATCACCAGTTCACCAGCTCGCAACACCACAGGGACATGGTCGACATGATCAGGGACCATGATAGAATGATTGCCACCACCATCATCCTGAACTACTACAAGGAAGCGACGACATTGGTCTTTAGACCAAACGCCATCGTCACAGCCATGCGCAACTGGATGCAACATCACAGTAGACAGCTCCACACCATCATCCAGTTCGCGCAACAAGACCCCAGAGATTATTTGCTGAACTACCACAACATGCAGCAAGCGGACTTCGGACACTCGGGAGGTTTGATCGGGTTTCACCAAGGACATTGAGTGAGTAGGATACATGCGGAAGCCGAGCCTATTGCCAACACTTCATGCATGCGTGCTGCGCTCCGTAACCATGTCTCACCCCGCATGACGTTCATGGTGTCTTCGCTTGTGCAAGGCAAGTTGTCATGACCTTGCCTGCATGCTTGTAGCTGTTACAAATCGGGCAGGGTGTGTTACACCACACCCAAGTAGCAGATTTATTCCAACTAGACCGGTGTCATGACATCCAACGAAGTCATGGCAGCGTGGTTGATCATGGCGGCATCAGACCCGAACGACATCACGCAGTGTTTCCTCAAGCTCTCCGACCATGACAAGAGCCTAGCAGCCCAGCACATCACCAACGCCATCATGCGCAACGACGTCGAAAGACTTCAACAAGGAAAAAGACCACTGGAAGAGCATGATGTGATTGACAACAAGAAGAAGATGAAACAAGAGAAGGATGCAGTTGACACAGACACAACGACTACACCGCCCCATTCATCACACACCATCAACAGCTTCTTCAACTACACAGGTTTTGTGCCCAACCATCGCGACTCCAAACCTATCGACCTGGACCCCAAACCCAGGAGGACTATGAGAAGTACACCGGTCCGCCAACAAGAACTCAACGAGATCGAAGTGTTCATGGCCAAAAAGAGCACAGCATATCATCGACGAGATTGCGGCAAGATCTTCAACTCGGCGGAACAGGACATCAAGAAATACGCCAAAGGAGAGGTCATGCAGTTCTTCAAGCCTTGCGCCCTGTGTAAACCGTGATCACGAAGATGTGCACCAACTACTGTGGACGACCAGCATAACAGAAGCTAGATCACCTACTCAGGATTTTGTTCTCACTAGTGTGACCATGAGTTCCCATGTCACGGCTTGAGTAAGCAAGAGCGTGCTTGATGCCGGCGTTCACTGCGTTGGTCATGAGACTGCATGTGGTGCACTGATGCAAGCATGAACCAGAGTGATGCATGCTTTTTGAAGCTTGATTGCTCGCATGTGATATGTGCATGTTGCATGCTGAGTTTGCAGACATTAACCTCACCAATTCGAAGCGAAGTGGACGCTAAACGTGCGAGAGTAGACCAAGCCCCTCATGACCAGCCATGAGATCATGTACCACGCACGCTACATCAAGAACAGGGCAGACTTCGACGTGGTGATGAGTCAAGAAGAGAGCAACAAACGAGTCGAACAAATGCTTCTGAAATATCGAGCCAGAGGTGATCGTCATACACCAAGAAGCAGATCCTGTCCAAATCCCAATCGACATCGGAAACATCACAAGTATGGGTCAGTCAAAAAGATGAGATGCCATCCCACGGAAGACAAGTACCTGGCCTGCCCCATATGCAGAATCGCGTCCAGAACAGTACGCCAATGGGAAGTTCACCTGATCACGGCACCTCACAAACGAGCCAAAGAGAGAGCAGAAAAGTTCGTCGACTTGGACTACCTCTACGTGTGAATGCCATGTTCTCCATCAGCTCATCGCCCCGAAAGGGGTGCGTGTGGCAAACCGCTGTACATGCGGGATCGTCACCAAGAACTGCAAACAGGATGGAAAACAAGACCAATTTTGCAACCCAACATGCGATTTGCGATATGCTATATGTCTATTTCGGCAGGGGGCAGGAGCACCTTGGTCAGTCTCCTGCCAACGAAGACACTGACCAATGGTGGTGAAATCAACTCCGGACGCGGAGTTGACGTACCTGCAGTGATGGTTATAGACATCCTGTAACGTACGCTGTGCATTGGTACCATCCTCGCTGTTGTTCTACCGCCTCAACTACCATACAGTTTTCGACGTGGTTTTGGATTTTGCTTGGATGAATTCTTTGATGCCTGATCATGACACGAAGATCTTGAGCCCATCAAGCTCGGATGTCTTGTGGTGCAGTCTGTTGTGTCGCGGTAGTCTTCTTGCAGAGCATACTTGCATGAACATGCCTGCATGAACATGTGGATGGATCATGCGTGAGCACAGACGAGAACATCAAGCAGGTTCGGGAAGGTCCGGAGCATGCGTTGCAAACATGTGGACGAGATGCATTATCATGAGTGACAGAGCATGATCAGAATGTGAGCATGTGACTGTGAGTGAGCATGTTGCCGAATGTGAGCATGTGACTGTGAGTGAGCATGTTGCTGCATGTGTGACGAACATGAAGTGCAGTGGAACATGTTCACGCATTACATACATGAGATGAAGTTTTATCCATTCATATAAAACTCCATTCGCGATGTTCTTTGCCCTCTTTGTTGACGCGTTCCTTGGTGGCTTGATTGAGCATCTCTATCTTCAGAGCATCACCAGCAACCAGATCATGCCAAACACTAAAACATAAAGTGTGTGTTAGTGTGTGTCTGTGTGTTAGTATGTGTAGGTGTGTGTACGTGTGTGTGTGTGTGTGTGCGAGTGTGTGTTAGTGTGTGTAAGGGTGTGTAAGTGTGTGTGAGTGTGTGTAAGTGTGAGTGTGTGAGGGAGAGAGAGAGAGAGAGAGAGAGAGAGAGAGTGTGTGTGTGTGTGTGTGTGTGTGTGTGTGTGTGTGCTTGCGTGCTTGCGTGCTTGCGTGTTTGCGTGCTTGCGTGGTTGCGTGGTTGCGTTATTGCGTGCTTGCGTGTTTGCGTGTTTGCGTGTTTGCGTGTTTGCGTGTTTGCGTGTTTGCGTGTTTGCGTGTTTGCGTGTTTGCGTGTTTGCGTGTTTGCGTGTTTGCGTGTTTGCGTGTTTGCGTGTTTGCGGGGGGGGGGGGGGAGAGGTTGGGTTTGGGTTTGCGTGTTTGCGGGGGGGGGGGGGGGTGTGCGGGGAAGGTGGGTGTGACCCCTAAACCGCGGGTGGGGTGGGCTGGGGGGGGGGGGGGGCCGGGGGGGCCATGCCGGTTTGCACGTTTGCCAACTTCCCTCTCTGTCGAGGAGAGAGAGATGTTTGCCTATGCAAATATAGAGGTGGCAACACTTGAACATACGAAATATTACGTAAACAAAACATCCTATGATCTGTCGCATCCATGGCTGCCGCAGCATAGGTTCTGGCATTGGATCTGCACATGATGCGCCAGTACATCGAGGAGACGTTCGCAACCCATCACATTCATGTTGTGAAGCCATGTGTCATGTGCCAGGAGGCTAGAGAGCTGGGCATTGACAAGGAGGCAAGCATCCGCCACTTCTTCCAGTGACATGTGCACGGAGAGTGGAATGATGTTCAGAAGCTGCATGAAACCACGCCTTCACGATCACGGAAGGTGAAGACTCGTGACATCTAGTGTCATCTAGCGGCTCCAGTGCTTCATAAGTGCATTTCAAGAGGCCTGGAGGCTGAGCCTGGGCTGATGAAACTATTGTTAGCTTGCGCTCCTCGGATTATCTACCGTTGTCAGGGGTCAGTACTGCATCTGGCATACCCTGCCCAACAGAAAACACAGATCGAGGTACAATGTTTGTAGGTTGATGTACGTTGTGACGTGCTGCAACTTTAGAGACCGACCAAGCACCCGCAAGTGAACTTGGCGACCCTCTTCCAGATGCCTGTCGGCCGGAGACCGAAGCGAGTGAAACTCACAACCGATCACGTCTGCGAATTTGTCGCCCTTTTGAATCCATGCACCCCCTTTCCATGCATCGCCAGGCAAAGCCAAACGCACCCCTGCATTACTGACTTTCCTATGCATGGGCTCGCAATGACACATGTGATCGAAACCTTCTTTCCGCAAACTTAAACCACGCTCCCCAATCAATACCTTGGTGCCCCAGACTACTTAATCCTGCGCCGCGCACCAAACAACCTTGGAAAACCGCGAGTCTCGGTTTTTCCTACAAAACAAAGACCCCTCGCTTCTTCAATTTGGTGTTTTATGGTCAGGGTTTTGGAGGGTCTAGTCACGTTTTAAGCGTGTCCCAGTCTCAGTCTCTCACAAACGATCTGCATTGGCATCTGCTGGGCTCAAATGCGAAGGTAGGCACAATTTAGGCAATGTCAACAAGGGCTCAATCACGTAGACGATGAGGGGGAGTTAGCAATTAAGTCGAGGTATTCGTTAACAATTTTTTTTGGACACACACTGTCCTGCCAGGTGATCGACAGAGCTGAAGCCAAGTATCAAGAGTATGCTTAGAGACCAACCTTTCAAAGGCACGTCTTTTTCTTCGGACGCAGCCGTTTCACGTAGTGTACAGATGTGTACAGCCGCATGATCCTCTCCTCTGCTTTACGTTCCAAAGGCGAACTGCAGAGCGCCCGGAGGCGTTTGACCAAAGGGAAGCGGGGAACCAGGATTGACTTTGGAGATATTTGTTGTGTGTGCGTCGCCGAGCATCCTGCCCAGTATGTTTTGTGCATTTGATGTTTTTTTGCTTTGCAGGTCGATTCCTATGAAGTTCGCTTGAGCAAGAACTTCGAGTCGGCCATCGAGCGTATGAATCGTGAACTCCCAGAAAAACACAGGAGCTTGCGCCGGTAAGCCATGGCGGATTGCCCATGTCGCGTGTTTAAGGTATTCTCAGAAATTCTCAATCTTATCTTCAAGGATCCTGTACAGACCATTTGACATGAAAAACCATGCAAAGCCGGCAGCTTGGTGTAGCTGTTGTTGCTGGACAGCAGCTAGCAGAGCGTGCAGTTGTCGCAAGCTGAAAAGCAGGTCGAACCCGACAATCTACGAAGTCTTCGCACGTCTTGCTGAATCCGTGGTGACAAGAGTGGTGATCATCCCAGTGCAGCAGCCATCAGCAGCCCGTGCTTGCGCCAAGCCCATGCACTTGGTGCAATGCTGGCTGAGGGCTTCTTTCACACCAAAGCAGGACTACAGGGCCAGCCGGAGAGGCTGTGTATCATGAAGTGTTCATCATTGTTCATGCAAGTTCGTTCAGGCCAGGCGAGGGTTCTGCGAGCGCTGGCAGGATAGTGCTGTTCAAGTGTTCACGGCTCGGCGCGTGAGTGCTGTCGCAAGTTGTCATAAGCATGAGCTGCTGAAGCAGTCAGCATTAATCGCCACGACTAAAAGCGCAACGATCCAAACACTAATGCAGAGCACCGTCACACTTCGGACTTGGCAAAGTGGCAGAGTTGGTGCCAGAGGTGCTAAGATGTGCTAGGATGCTATGTCCCTGGTTTGATGCCAGACATACCGATAGCTTTCTGTTCCAGATCCGAATAGCTGATCACTGTATTTGAGAATAGCTTGAGCAGCCATGGCAGCCATGGTCCTATGATCCGACGGGCTTGCTTTGCGTCCTGCGGAGCGCGGCGCATGGCCTCACAAACCCACTTGACCTCCACTTGAGAGCTCTTTCTCATGCAGACCAACCGGGCACCTCAACTTGCCTCTCTCTATGTCGGCAGTTGCCTCAATTGCTCAGCATTCAGTATTGGCACACTAACAATCCGAACCACAACTCCAATTTTGAGCGTTGGTTCTGCTTTCGTTGCGAAGTTATCCATAGCCATCCATGTACAAGCATCAAGAACTGATTCTGTACAAGGCCGAAATGGCCAACATTCATTACGTAATGGCGCGAACGTGCGTGCTGAAAACTCCCACTCGCTGCGCAGTTTGCAAGGTTTTGCAAGACGTGCCAGTTTCTGTGTTGCCGTCATTCGCGAACGCATGCTTGTAAAGATCAAAGTTGCATGGTTTGCTCTGTCTCTGGCTAGAAGCGACACAGCTGTTTGGCGCAGCTGTCGGGACTGACGAGTTGAGGGGAGTTGTGTTTTATAGGACGTGAGTGCGGAACACTAAAGCACTTCCGAGCTCGACAAGCCTCTGTAGATCTCTGTAGTTAAGCAGTCTTAAACAGTGATTGTTATGTTGCTGAGGCGATCTTCACCCAGATGTCACAGAGGCAATGCTGCGCTCCGCACGCAGCGAAATTAAGCCTGAGATGTCCAGGATGGTCCAGGCCTGCGCTGAAAGAATCGTTTGATTGTTCGCGCCGAGGTACGAGCTTTTCAACCCAGTTGGTCCTGTGGCATCTATTCGTGTTTGCCGAGACAAGACAACAAGGAAATCTTTGGGCTATGGCTATGTGACTCAGATGGGTACAGATGGGTGCCATGAAGCCTTGAAGGAGGATGGTAACTTCAGTGCTACTAGCAGTAGTGCGAAAAGTTGCACTATAGGGCCAAGAAGGGCCATGGCTGGTCAGGTAAATTTCCACAACCTGAAGGATGCGGAAACGGCTTTGGATGCTCTGAGCTACGCCAGCATCCACGGCCGAAGTTGCCGTCTCATGTGGAGTAACTTGGCTTCGGGACGCTATACTCATGAGCATGTCCTCAATGTCCTCAACAGTACTAGTAGCGTGTCCGCGCGGGTTCTGCATGAAGCAAGCAAGGTCAGAGAGACACAGGGCAAAGGAAGGCAACCGGACGGTAGAACCTCCAGCAGACAACTGTTTTCAGATACTAGTTACTAGTAACTGCGAACGCCGTTGGTGCGTTGCATGGTTGCAGGCCAACCACAGCAACGTCTATGTTGCCAACCTCGACAAGAACATCGATAACAAGGCTCCTGTTTGCGAGAGCCGTTGTATTTCATCGCAGATTTGGTTTGAAGAGGCGCTTCATGACACATTCAGCGTGTTCGGGGAGATTCGATCTTGCAAGGCCAGATTTGGGAGTCCTGCTGATCCCTGCTGTTGCACTGCTGTTGCACTGCTGTGCTGCGAGTCGTGACGCTGCCAATGTGTGACTACGACCTGACTTCAACTGGTTACTGTCGGAGATTGTCGGAGTGAAGGTGAGCATGAGAGCATGTGAGAAACGTTCATTCGGCATTGGCGTTCAGCTCACCTGGATTGTTGCGGAAGGTTGACTTGCAGCATTCGAACTGCTTGGAAAGCGCATTGGAGAGCTGACGCAGTCGCCACATTGATATGACCTGTCGACATTCCAAAAAAGATTTTGTAACCCGATTGAAGATTGCTAATGAATGTTATAGAGTGTTGTAGACGGTTCTGCAGACGCCTTGAAAAAAATGGAAGTCTTTGCTGACAGCAGGTGGCAGCTGATTTGCTTGGAAATTCGTATGGCTATGGCTTCGTCCACTTCGAAACTGAAGAGGCCACCATGTGCCCACTGAGTGCCCACTTCTTCAACACATGAGGAAGCACATTGTGCGCCCATAGTAGTCCTAGTGTATCGAAGTGCCTTCGTACTGTAGTCGTGCCAGTGTCGTGGCATGTCGTGCCTGTTCGGAGGCGGCGCAGGATGCCATTCAGAGACTCAACAATGTCGAGGTCAGTGGCCAGAAAATTCAGGCGTGGCGCTCAGATGCTGGTACCCCGGAGCAATCGAGAAACTAGCAAATGTAGCAGCTGCATCATCTCTGATTCTGGCGCTTGTGTAGGTTTGCATGTGTGAAAATCGAAAAGAAAATGCCCGGAACAGTCGGCACCTCGAAGTATTGTCAGCACTTTGTGCGAAAGCGATGAAGCGTGCATGTTGGCCCTTTTTGTAATGCACATTTTCAGGTGCAGAGGACTTCACCAATTTGTATGTGAAGTGCTTTCCATCCAACTGGGATGAGGACTGCGTCCCCCCATGCTCCACTATAGACAGTCAAGCAAGCTCATCCCGGTTGAGGTGGTGCCGCTGCAGCAGTGTCAGGAGACTCTGCGACGTGAGTTCCAAAAATTTGGCAGACTCACTGGAATCGCGGCGCCGTGCTAAGAGTGCAACTTGCAAGATCAGCAGCCAAGAGATCCTGAAACGGCCATTGTTAGGTGCGCACAGATGCGCAAGGTCGCAGAAGTGCCTTCGTCAACTTCGAACTGCATGAAGATGCAAGACATTGCATTCAAGAGTCCCTTGGTTGCGCCGGCTGCACCCATCTAATCCTGTGAAGAACACACACACAGTGGCTACTGAGGATGCACATGAAGGATATGCGAAGTCCTGAAGAACAGGACGATAACATGCTCTCAACTGCGGACATGCGGCATGACTGCTGCCATTGACAGGCGACTTGCTGGAAACGGTCGTGACCTGTAACGCAACCTTCACATCTCCACTCCTGCATCTTCCCAACCTGGCTGAAGTGATCTTTGATCCGTGAATTTTGTGTAGTTCAATTGCTTTGGTACGCACTGTAAAGTAGAAGAGACAAGAAGACCCACGGGAAGCCGAGCTCGCATTTTCACCTTGTTAAAGCTGGCCTTGCCAATTGCATGCAGGGCAGGGGGCATTCTCTATTCCTCTCCACGCCCTGAAGACCATCAAAATCCGAACGGCGGACGTGTTCGAGCGAAAGTCACATGTGGCCTCAAGAATCCCGGAATACTGTGCCTCCCTCCATCTCCATCTGCTTTCTGTGTAGTTCTTGGCCGCGAGAGGGGCGTTGAATGCGCCCTGAGAAGGCTGCAAACGTCGGAACAGCCACACAGCACATGGAAATCCAATGCTTTCTGCTCTTAGTCACTGATTGCCTCGAGGACACTGTGACAACCGAGGAGGTTGGAACCGATGGGCATCCCCTTTCACGACTCTACGTGCAAAGGGCATCTTGCCTGTCTTGCCTTTCTCTAACGAGTTGGATTCACACGTTACTGGATGGCCGGGGAGGCAGTGCAGGTTTCCTTGGTCGTTGAGAGGTTTGATACGCCAGAAGTTCAAGCAGGAACTGAGGAGGAGGTCAACTTCGTGCAGGAGGGGGGGTTGGGGTTGTTAGGAATCTCCTCCAAGCCTAAGCATACACTTCCGGTTGCTTCACTCCAGCCCAGGCACAACCAAAGTCAGAAAGAGAACGAATCCTGAAAAAGCAGTTCGCCGAAGATGCGGCGATTAAGAATCCGTCACTGGCCTGCGCTGATGTAGATGCAGATTTGCAGCTCATTGACGGCTCCTTGCATCCAGTGTAAATGAGTGTGGACTGTGCTTTTGAGAGCAAGACCAAGGTCCAAAATCAGTGCCTGGGCAGACTAATTCTGCAAGTTTTCAAATTCTTAAGGTGGGCAGAGATGCCCGACATTTTGTGTATTCGAGTTGCGACATCTTCACACGTATTTCAGTTGTTCACGGCACAGCTATGAGATCTACAAAACGGTAACACGTGCAAAGCCCTAAGGAGCGCATGTGGCCTGTGGCCTGTGTTTTTTTTCTTTGACCGATTGGCCCTACAATATCCCTCTAATCCACCGGCTTTGTCTAAACAGGTAAGTAGCTCTCGGAGTTCTGCCATGATCTGTCATGGTGGAAATTGATCAGCGAGATTCAGCGAGACTTCACTTGAGTCACAAGAGAAGTTCGCCAAACCTGGCAACACTTTTGGATTTGCTCTAAGGTTTGTACGTGAAGGGCCTACATGACGGCATCACGGATGAAGGGCTGCGAAAACTGTTCGAGCCTTTTGGCCATGTCTTGTCCGCCTCTGCACCATCGGATGGCAGAGGCATCGCTGCACTGGCACCAACTTTGAGAACGCATCTATTTCAGCCATCTTTTTGCCTTTAAAAAACAGAAGGAGAATCAGAAAACATGCCTGTTGATGCCGAGCGCTGAGATGGGAAGTGCCGCGGCTTCGGCTTCGTCAACTTCGGCTCGCTGGAGGAAGCCACAAAGGTGGGACAAAGGAGTCGGATGGAGAGTCCGGGAGAGTCCACGTTGCCCAGTAGCCGTCAGAAAGCTCTCGGTTGCAGGCAGTGTCGCAGATGCACATGCGGGCAGCAAGCTCAGAGTGCAAGAAGAGTTAAGTGGGACTTGGAACAATTCGACATCGCTAGCACTAGGTCGTCACTAGGCACCGACCTCAGACCTTCCGGAAGGTGGTACATGGACGACCCATACATGTAGACTTGGCCGAGAGCCAGAAGGCCGGAGAATGCCGGAAGGTCCAAACACATCTTAACCACCACAAGCATGCAACAAAAAGTCTTTCTTCACTGAAGCTTGCTTGGCTCAGGATCGTCAAGCCCGCCAACAGCGCTCACAGCAGCGCGGCTTTGGTGGAGGCCGAGGCGTTTGCGGCCCATTGCGCAAGAAGGGACTTAAGTGATTGTATATGATTGTATGACGTATTGTATGATGTTGGAAATTGAGCAGCGACAGCTCAGCAGGCATGCCTGGAGTGCGTTTCCCAATGGGCGCCTCGGCTGACATCGGTGTCCGGGGCTGTCTCATCGGAACATCTACTTCGCAGTTGCTCGTGTTTCTTGACGAAGATGTCAGCTAGGTGGCTTTGGGATGCCAAGACCGGGGGTGATGTTTGCGCCGTCCACTGGTATGAGTCGTCAAATGATGCCGCCACGGACCCGACACTTGGACGTACTTGGAACATCTAGCCGAATCTAGGTTCCTGTGCTGCTTCAGTTCGTATGCAGTGGCCATGTGTTTGAGCTGCAACAAGGTCACGGTTGTGGCCCTGGTGGCTCCCCAATGGGGTTCAGTCCATCTGGTGCCCACCCGGGAATGTCGGGTATGGGGCCACTGAATTCAATGATGAACCCGGTGAACCCCATCCACAACATGGGCATGCGTCCGCCCATGCCTCCGCGGCTTTGCTAAGCCTTTAAGTGATAGCTGTTTGCAGGGAAGCGTGTTGTTCAGGCGGACAGGGTGACTGAAAGTTATATGAAAGTACCCAGAAGCGTGATCTGAGCTGAGGATGCCCAGTGACTACGGCTATGGCAGTTGTGGTCAAGGGCAGGGCATGGGCATGCAGGGCATGCAGGGCATGCAGGGCATCCTGCCTCCCCAAGGGCCCCAGTTCAATGGCCCCACCGCTGCCTGTTTGCATTCTGCTTCGCGCTGCCAGCGCATGCATTGCTATATGTTAGCATCGGACAAAAACCAATGCAGATCCAATCCTGTCTCGATGTTGCATGCCTTCTGATTCTCAAAAAAAACGATAGGGGCCCACCCTACAGCGATACCCCTATAATCAAAGCGATGCTGCATGTGACTGGGTGCGAATCCTCGAAACTCGAAAATCCCTACAAAGCATGTTGTGCCCCGTTGGACAAACACACGGTTGTGTCAGCCGCTTATATGGCCATGGTTCCTAAGCCATAGCTCCCTCTGGCTCCTTTGAACAATTTGTTCGCCTCTCCGAAGTCGCAGGGTGCACCAACGCCGTTAAGACCCCTTGGGCTTCACAGAGCCATTGCAGCCTTGAGTTTCACGTCGAGAAAAAACGAATCGGATTGCGCAGAAAGGGTTTTGACCTGGCGTCAAAAGTAGCCGGCGTGGGACGTGTTGTGCGGCGTGACCGGAAATCTTGTGTGTGTCACTGGGGAAGCACCTTTGTCGTTGCCTTCAAATTCTCCGTCTTTGTTGGGCATCCTTTCACGCCGGATCAAAAAGAAACTTCTTTCGTGTATAGTAACTTTTACCGGAGGGAAAAGCATACCATTTGTTCTCCAGACTGACAGGCTTGTGAAACCACACTGGACTCGCTGGCATTCCTACGAAAATGGAAATCCTCATGGTGTCCTTGACGGCATCTCCATGACAGGCTCTGCCGTCTCTGCAATGCAGCGACTGTACTCGACCTGAAGATTCCTGTCCACATTTGTAACCATCCTTGATGCCTCATCTTGCCAACAGTGAATGCGCCCACTTTTCCTTCCATGAAAATCTCACTGATTTTGGCAAGTGAACCATTGTTGTCGGCGAAATCCAAGTCGATCCTTCTTTCCTTCACGAGGGTTATCTTTTCTCCTGGGCATGTTTCCAGCTCACGTTCAGAATGGGGGGGCCACGTCGTCTTCCATGGTTCTTCATCCATGCCGGGGTGCTTCTTCCTTTGGAAAAAGGATGTGATAGGGCAATCCAAATGGTCATCCCTGAAGCTGTAAGTCCAAAAGACTCAGCTTCATGACTTGGATCTAGGTTCCTTCAGCGACCGTTTAGTTCTCTGGGCTTTGCAGTGTCCAAGCGACGATCTGGTCTAGGTTCCGGTCCTTCCTTGAGGGCTCGGTCCATTCCTGCCTGGATTCCCATCTCGAAGACGATGAGACGCGTCACCATCGCCAGACACCATGTCCAGCGCCAAACCTTGGCATCATGAACTTCATCAGGTTTCTGCCAATGACTTCAATACGTTATTGCTCGACAGGGTGTCCTCGGAGTGCCCAGCCCCAGAATGTCCCTGGAGTGCCCAACCCCCAAAGAATCTCTACCAAGAGAGGGTGGGGATGTTCGAAGTAAAATGAATTTTTGAGGAGCTCGGCCTACCCCCCCCCCTCCCCCCACAGGTTTGTGTATCCCCGGAGCTCAAGTTCCCGTTTCAGTCGATGGCCTTTGCCAGGATCATGGCTCTAAAACTGGGCCACACGTAGGTCTGTAGAAAACCCCACGAAGCCCCAAGCCCTAAACTCTAAACCCCACACGCCTAAGGAATCCCCAAGCCCTAAACCCTAAACCCTCAACCCAGGGCTCAAAGCTGGCTGTCCCGCATGAAACAAGTTGCGGCGAGTTCCTTGTGGTAGTCATTCTTCCCAACCGCGTCAGGTTCCTGGACATGCTTTCGTTTGGGGATTGTATTCTTGATCCATTCTTGATCCATACTCCCATGAGAACGTTCATCTTTTCTTCCATCACATCGGCCCAGTGATCCTGTCCCGGTCTTTGAGCCTAGTGAACGGTTCGGCAAGGCAAGGCCCCTGCTCACATCATACGCGCACACACCACATGCAGAAATGACTGTTCCTCAATGAATGGAATGATTACCAGAACGGCCCGAGCACTACCCCAAGCAGTAGCCCAACAAGTTTCGTACAAATGGAAGTGCGGGTAATGGGCTTGGCAAGCTCGCAATCTGGAAGGGGATTCGCGGCCTAACTCATCACGGGGAAGATGTTATTTATTTATTTATTTATTTGTTTGTTTGTTTGTTAATTTGTTTATTTAAATACTTGGATACATATAATGTATTTTCATACGCCGTGCCCACCCGAGCAGGCTACCGCAGCAACGCTGGCATCTGTGCCGCCACCCATGCAGAAACAGCTCCTTGGGGAGAGCCCTGGCTGCGAAGCACGATCTGTTGCAGATGCACGTTGAAGAAGTGTCTTGGGCGATCCAGACGACATGCCCAACGCTTTTGCTTCTCACAATGTTTCAAGACCTCTTTTGACCTTGAGGGTGTTTTGTGCATGGTGCTGTCTTTCGGAATTTCCATCTTCCTCGCAATGATTACTAGCAACATCAAGCACCCCATGTGCTGTCTGCCAACTGTGAGCTACACGTGAAAGTGGATTCTTCAGCACAGGTGTTCCAAAGATCTCGCAATGCACTGAAAATCACAAAAATGATGGGGGGGGGGGGGGGTGGCAACCTCTACCTCTATTTCCCTTGTTTGCTTCATAGGAGCAACTCCATTTCCTTTCAAAGGCGGCTGCCTGGTGGCGCTTATTCACTCACTTTCCCTGCCGAGATCTGGGGAGCGGCCATAGCGGTTCAAAGACGAAGAATAATGATGAATTCTGTAGCACGGGTGAGCTTGTTACAAGAAGTATTCGAATCTCAAATCAGGCCCACGGTGCCACAACAAAAACAACTCGTTGCCTTTATTCAACTTGAGCTTGGGCTTCCAGATTCGCACTTCCAAGCATGCACCACCGAAGCTGATCGCTTTTTTTCCGGGTATGCGTTAAGGAAGTTATATGCTGAGATTGCGCGGATGAATGTTGCCCACGCTGGCAAAATCACCGGAATGATGCTTGAGCCCCTTGCATGCATTTTAGCGTCGCATACTCCGTCTTGAATGCTTGCAAGCATATGTTCTGCAGTGGTTGCAAGCTAACTAGGGGGGAAGTCCTGCGTTATTGCCATGGGAAGCAACACATCCAGGATGGACAACAGCGACATTCTGTCTTTCCTTGAGTCGCCTGAGCGCCTTCAATCCAAAGTCAGGGAAGCTTTGGAGATGTTGACACGGTAGGGCCGAAGCGCCTGCAGCAAAACCATCCATTATGGCCGGCTCTTCTTGATTAAAAAAGCTGACAGTGTTTGTGGCATTGGCATGCTCTCGAAGAAGCTCCGCAACCCGTGCTGTCACCGCGGAATTGTCATGGTTGCAGGCTTCAAAACGGCGTGGTCCGCACGAATTGCGTGGACTGCCTGGACCGCACTAACGTGGAGCACTTACCGTACTCGCAGCTCTTGAATCGCAGAAGCGCAGAAGCTCTCGCATCTTTTCACAAATGCTAGCAGCGGAAATTCACTCCAAACCCTCACTGCGACTGCACCTCTTTCCTAAGACGATCGATGCCTTACACTTTCAGGGCCACTGTTCCTTCTAGTACTTCTTCCTGCTCCTGCTAGCTGCTCCACGTAATTTACTGATTGGATGCGTGAAGATGTACAGTAATTGTTGCGTGCACCGAACCTAACAGCCCCAATCAATTTGCGCGGCTGCTGTGTGTGATTCCTCGCCCCATCTCGGATTCCGCTCGGTGGTCAGTCTCCTCCGAGCAACACGCCATTTAGTTCCACACAGGCCTGCTGCGAACTTCTGCTGAACCTAGACCAGCTCTGAACTCTGAACCCCAAGGCTCTCAAACCCTTCTTATTTCAGCCCTGCGCCCAGACCCCAAGTAAGCAGCACAACCTCATGCAACCCCTCATACCTTGAAACCTCAGCCCGAACCAAAACCCAACGCAGTGCAACCCCCCCACACCCCAACCTAAACCCCAAAGACCAAACCCTCAAAGCTCGAAAACTAACCCATCAACAAAAACCGAAAGCCAAAACCACAAAAGCACGGCAATGGGTTGAAGCATGCACTGTTGAGGAAAGGCTGTTTTGCCGACAGGCTTGTCGTGCAAAACAAATACCGTCACACAAGTAATCGGCGCGCACCAAGACTCATGCAATCGTGACCGGTGGTGCCGGGGGGGAGTGTATGACAGTAATTCGTCAACGAGATGCTGTGTTGCTGCGCCTTCAGCATTGCGTTGAGTCATTGAGGTCCTGCAGTTTTTTGTGGGCCTGGAGGTCCTCAAGCAGCAGCTGACGGCCAGCTTTTTTCAGTGCAGAGCCTCATTCTTCCTCATTAGCTTGAAAGGGACATTTGTTCTAGGCAATGTGCCTCTTGCCCGAGCCAAAGATGGATTTCGAGAGCCAGGAGTCCCCGCCATGAGTAGCATTGGCTTCACCATACTTCACCATACTTCACCATACTTCACCATACTTCACCTAGATTCTTCTCTTTTGAGTATGGCCTCAGGCAGTGTTCGTTCTGAGCGAGCTTTACGATGTGATGGGGGACCATCTTGCATTGCAGTTTGGGCCCCAGAGGGACTAGTGACGAAGTGACTAAGTTTCGCGACACTCTAAGAATGTGGACTACACAGTGGTTGTTCTTGCCCATGCGCTTGCTGTCCAAGGTATGCTGGCTCTGTCGCCCACAAGAAATACCAGGCCCTCGGTGCTGATATGCACTCAGCTGCTCTTTTGCTGATGCGACAACGCCTGGCAGCTGCTCGGCAGCCGTCCGCGCATGATGACAAGCTCAAAAGAGCACAGGCCTTAGCCGCCAAGGGATTTGTGATCTGGCGGTACGTCGCCACACGAACTGCCTGTGCATGAAAGTACACAACTACCACGGTTCAAACAGTGACACTGACAACAGCAGGATAGTTTTGGAGGCGTAGTTATAGTACCCACAATGGAATGGAATGGTCGCGGCCGTCTCGACATGTGCTTAGGTTACTGACGTCCATCCATCGACACTACAACAACTCGTTTACCGATCGCGAAAAACAGGACTGATCACCGAGCGCGCGGATTTACGGTGCTGATGTGAGTGAGCCAGCGAGCGAGCGAGTGAGCTGGACTGTGTTGGCCTTTCCTTTCCCCCATTGCAGAATGTGATCATGTTATGTGAGAATCCTCAAGAAGTTGGTAGTGCTGTGGTTTAACCCTCAGCCCAAGCCCCGCAGGCATGCTTGAACCTTTTCCTCGGCCTGTACCAACCCTCCATCCACCCATCCATGGAGAAGCTTGACTGCTTTGGCCCCAGCCTGGCCGACTGACAGTTCTCTCGCAGTGTTGCGCCGGCGCACTCTTGATCAATCTTGCAGGTGATTCTTGGGTTCACCACAAGGTCCTAAAGGATGATTATAGCCCTGGGGTGCAGAGCCTACAGGTACTGTTGAGCTGTTCACTTGGCTGTTGTCGGATTTTGTGAGATTGTGTATTTCTGTGTGCAGATGCCTTCAGGAGTGGTGGGTCGAGCCGCTCGAGAAACATCGCCAGAACCTCCTTCCTCTCCAAGCGAAGGAGCGAGACAAAAAACACAATGCCCAACCAACCAAACTGGAAGAACAATCAGGCAAACAAGCACAAAAACAACAAACACAGCAACGACAAACGCCAACAACAAGCAGCTACAACAAAGCAAACAAACGAGCAGGCAAACAACCACCAACAAAGCAAAATCAAACGACATCAGACAAACAACATCAAACGAGCCAGCCAACACCCAACAGCCAGCAACAAACACCCAACAATCAAGAATCAGAACAACAACTGCACGACCAAACAGACAAACAATCAAGCGAATAGCACCGCAACAACAGTAACAAGCAACAAACCGACAAACAAGGTAACGCGCATTCTGGTGTGCCCGGCCAGCAGCAGCCAGCAGCAGCCAGCAGCAGCCAGCAGCAGCCAGCAGCAGCCAGCAGCAGCCAGCAGCAGCCAGCAGCAGCCAGCAGCAGCCAGCAGCAGCCAGCAGCAGCCAGCAGCAGCCAGCAGCAGCCAGCAGCAGCCAGCAGCAGCCACCAGCAGCCAGCAGCAGCCAGCAGCAGCCAGCAGCAGCCAGCAGCAGCCAGCAGCAGCCAGCAGCAGCCAGCAGCAGCCAGCAGCAGCCAGCAGCAGCCAGCAGCAGCCAGCAGCAGCCAGCAGCAGCCAGCAGCAGCCAGCAGCAGCCAGCAGCAGCCCGCAGCAGCCAGCAGCAGCCAGCAGCAGCCAGCAGCAGCCAGCAGCAGCCAGCAGCAGCCAGCAGCAGCCAGCAGCAGCCAGCAGCAGCCAGCAGCAGCCAGCAGCAGCCAGCAGCAGCCAGCAGCAGCCAGCAGCAGCCAGCAGCAGCCAGCAGCAGCCACCAGCAGCCACCAGCAGCCAGCAGCAGCCAGCAGCAGCCAGCAGCAGCCAGCAGCCGCCAGCAGCCGCCAGCAGCCGCCAGCAGCCGCCAGCAGCCGCCAGCAGCCGCCGCCGCCAGCTGCCGCACCGGCCGATGACATGTTCGCATTTGGTGAAGCCAGACGTCCAAAAGCGACAGCAGTTTCGCATTTCGCGAACCCACAAGCCAACAGTGATGAATGAGAGCTTCGCGCCTATAGGCAAGAGCGTAATTTCGACACACTGACTGGGGAAATAAATCCGACGTACGAATCGAACTATTAGTTCTGAGTACGAAAAGTTAACTACATCATGTCAAGTAGTAAGTACAAAGTACGGTGTGTGTCAGTTGTGTGGCATATCAAAGTACTGCAAGGCGGTAAGCGGAGCGGACGAGATATTCATTAATTAATTACTCTGTACTGTACAAACTTATTCTTGAAACGTCACTTCACGAAGCTAGTATTGTGTCACTTTGTAAACAGGAGGTTCAAGCAAACCAGAAAATTACAACTTTTTAGAAAAATCCTTGCTTCCAGAATGAAAACTCAGGCTTGCGCATGGACCGGAGCAGTGGCTAATGAAGACCCAACATGGATACAGATCAGGTAAAAGCACGAACCACGCGATATCTTTGCACACAGATTGCAAGATATGGCTGAGAAATCAGGAGACAACATAGCTATCGCGCTACTGGACTGGGAGAAGGCAGTTGACAAAGTTGATCCTTCTCGTCGCATAGAAGCCCTAACAGGATCAATATCCCGGAGCACCTTCTGGCCACGAGTGCCGTTATTGATAATTGACGCGCAGCAAGCTGTGTACTTGGGATCCCTGACAGACAGTGTCAACACATTGCAGAAGTTCTTAACAGAAAGGTTCTGGCTCTGATTACAGCCAAAGCAAATGAAATTGTTCTGAAACAAAGCAAATACTAGTATTAAAGGAAGTTGCAGGTGTTCAATGCAATTGTAAAATCAAAGATACTGTACGGGCTTGAATCCATACAGCGAATGCAAACTGAGCTGAACAAATTGGATGTCTTCCAAGTGAAAAACTCAGTAGAATTCAACAAAAAGTCCACTCATGTAGGTAGAACCCAAACTAGCAACAGTGTCATGAACAAAATCAACAACCATGGACCATGGAGTTCAACTCAAAAACTCTCGGGATTTTGGAAAAAGTCAAAAGATGAAATTGCTAAGACACATACTCAGGGCTGACAGGTATGACCCGCTAAGACAGGTTTTATTCGAATAAGGAACCACTTCACCGCGGATAAACTACTAGAGAAGAATAGGCGGACTTGACAACGAAAGATGCCTTGCCATCAACAAACATACCATTAGGTCTTGATTGAACCTTCCTACAAGACATTGCAAAGACGCCCCATTCTAAAAGACGTGCAAAATTGCCACACAATCCCACAATACACGCTATGAAGAAATCGGCGCACAGAGGATTGGATAATACGTCCAAACCAGCTTACGGGCGTACAAAATACACTTTCATTACATGCCTCTTGTACAGATACAACCTCCCGGTAGGTTCGAGTTAGTTTCACCCGTGCCGCGCTCCCTATCTTCGGATTTGGCGCTGGGTGAGTGAGCGGCGAGAGCGAGTGAGTGACTGTACGAACCACCCTCCTGAAAGCTTCTCCGCCAGTGAGGCTTCGCAAACGTGTAAACTGCAAACGCGTAACTTGGTTATGAGATGGGAAGAGCGTCCTCTTCCCATCATAACCGGTGAACTACCGCGAGCTTCGCTGGGCACAGCTAAGCAGTCGAACTTTGCCCCCTGCGGACAATCGGTGCAGCCAAAACTTAAACCTAAGGTGTTTTTCATACATGCACATACACACACTATTTGCAGCCAAGATGGCACGAACATCTTTCGCACACAAGTCTAAAGACAGCATCATGTTCTTCATCTGTCTAAGCCACATCGGGGAAGTAATGGTCATCAGACGCGTTTCGCAACAGCTCTCTTTTTTGGGGGGTGTTGTGTCGATAACAACTTCATCTGATCTTCGATCGACATGCCACTTTCAACGACAATCCCAGCTGCACGTGACTGTGCCCAAGGACTTGTCAAGGGATTTCGGCCCCAGGCTATGGCGACGGGCCTCATCAGTAGAGTGTCACCATGCCCTTTCTCTATATCCCCGCTATCATGTGGCGACGCTCGCTTCAACACGCAGCATCATGGAAAAAACAGTCATCCCACTGGCATTGCAAAGACGCATCACTCCTTTTGGAACACGCACGCACGAACGAACAAACGAATCAAATCAGACAAAGCCGCACGAACAACAGCAGCAGCAGCAGCAGCAGCCGCCGTCGCAGCAGCCGCAGCAGCCGCAGCCGCCGCAGCAGGCGTAGCAACAGGGGTCGTTATTCTTGGAATCTGGGCACGCTGGTCTTGCAAAGGGGCCTTTTTGCCAGCCCACACAGTGCCATCAACAGCAATCCTGTTTTTCCCACTTTTGTCATCGGGCCCCGGCAGGATCCCGAGTACAACACCATGCTCACACAAGATCGTTTGCAGAAATGGTTTTGCCAGGCTTTGGGCCAACGCGCTGCATCAGTTGCGGTCATTCACCATGTCATTAGTTGGCAGTTGTGTTAAGCAATGAAGGTGCACAAGCCCGAGAAGTATACCTGGTTCGAAAAGCTTCTTGCGAATTCAGACGCAACCTTTGTACAGGCAGGGGAGGCACATTGTGACAAGAAATGGAAGATCGCTTCCTGATCACATCCCACTGGCTAAGATCAATCCTGCAAATCGCCCTTTGCGGACGGTGGGACCTTACAAGGCTTCGAGCAGCTTGCGTTCTTGTGGATTGCCAGTATCAGCAAGCTTCTGTGGCGCAGCCGTCATCCCCCGCGTATGCTTTGCAGAAATATTTGGAACGCAAGCAGAAGGAAGCGAAGCAGAATGCCTTGAGCCTGGCTTGGAGTAGTTGTTGATTTGTCCGCACATTCTGTCTCTGCCAAGATCTTTGCAGCTTGAATTCCATCTCCCATGAGAGAAGACACGGAGAGCAAGTGGCAAGAACAAGTCTGAACACTCACCGGAGCTCTTGGAGCCATCATGAGCCATCCCTTTGGCTGTTCTTGTTGCAGCGACAATGGGCCCATCCTGCTTCCCTCACTGAACTAATTTAAGCCAGATCTCAAAGATGTCCTTTTTGCATGGTACCAGTAAAGTAATTGATTGTTCTGCCTGGGGTTCTCAATGTGTTCGCAAGGATGCGCCTGCATCGAAGCCAAGCTTCTCACTGCAGCCGATGTCGGCAGAGGAGACGGAGGCCTTCTAGCGGCGCCAAAGCAGCATCCACCGCCATCCACCGACATGTTACCAGGTCTACCAAACGTATGTCGACACCAAGCAGCTCAGCCGTTTGCTGTGGTTAGAGAGTACGGCAGTTGACCAGGCACGCTTGTACCAGCCCAGGGTAGGCACAATATGACACAATCAATGCAGCTGGTATCAATCGATGCTGCTTACTGTTTCCTGTTCTTTCCACTTGTCACGGTGCCGGGAGGATCCTGAGTGCAACACCATGCTGACGCAGGATGGTTTGCAGAAATGGTTTTGCCAGGCTTGGGTCAAATCGTTGCATAAGCTGGTCAGCTTTCATTTCGTCAGCAGGCAGCCTGTTTTGCTGAGTGTGCAGCGAAGGTGCACAAGGCTGAGAAGTACACCGGGCTCGAAAAACCGAATGCGGATGCAACCTTTGTACAGGCAGGCAAGATGTTGAAGATCTTTTTTCTGATCAGAGTGTGTAGGCCAAGATCAACCCTGCGAATCGTCCTTTGCGGACGGTGGGGCCCTACAAGGCTTCTGACCAGCTTGTGGATTGCCGGTGTCTGCATCAGCATGGTTGACAGAATGCCCTCCGAAATTTGTACTGCAGACATATTTGGAACGCAAGCAGAAGGAAGCGAAGCAGAGTGCTCTGAGCTTGGAGACTGCTGACGTGTCCGCATAGCAAACAAGATGCACGTATCCACTATGTGCTTTGCAGCTTGTACTCTCGTGGTACAGTGATACAGGAAATATTTTGTGGGTGGCTGTCGTCGTAGACGGGTACTGTGGGGATCACCCGTAATCATGAATGCAGATGCTGCTAAGAAACTTTCAAACAGGAAAAGCTTTCGAGACGATACGCCAGACGCAACACTTGAGACCCGACACAAGACACCACAAAGCAAGAGATCCCAAACGAAATGCGACAGAAGCATGGGAGGACACAAACGACAGCAAATATCAAGCAGACATGAGACAGGTTCTCAGGCATCAAGCATCGCCAGTGTCTTCCACTATTGCTTGGGTTCAGAACGGGTGCCGTTGACAAGGGTGCTGTGCTGGCTGACACGGGTACGAACAGAAATGGTACTCCTTCAGATGGGGTTATGATATTTCGTGTGCCCGCAGCTGTGCATCAGAGACGTTATTGACCAAATCTGTTGAATTGTCGAAGTCAGGAAGACAGGCTAGAAAGGCGCAGCCCAGAGTGCTTTTCAGACTGCCCCGCTTTGTCAAAGAATGTCCATACGGCACATGCACCCCTTCAAGCCTCAAGCAAGCATATGTAAACAATTAGACAAGCAAGCAGGAAAGACTCCTCGAAGACGAGCGTTGGGGGCGAGAAATTCAACAGGGCGAGATCCAAAAACCGCGGCATTCTGTGATTTCCAGCCTGCTTGCTAGCGTCACACGGATCGATCAATATGTTCGCAAGGACGCGCCTGCATCGAAGCCAAGCTTCTCACTGCAGCCGATGTCGGCAGAGGAGACGGAGGCCTTCTGGCGGTGTGCGGACCGCACAAGTCACAGTGCTTGCAGAACATGGATATTTGGTGCACTACACAGCATGCAGAAGAAATCAGCCATGAGGGCGTCGCCTTCCATACACTGTAGTTTGTTGCTCGAACTAGAAGAACCACGTCGAACTTCCCGTGGGTTTGTTTGTTGTTGCAATAAGAACATGGAAGCAAGTGGATCTCAATGAAACTAGTGCCAAAGCAGCATCCAACAAGACTTCCGCCCGTTACCAGGTCTACCAGACGTATGTCGACACCAAGCAGCTCAGCCGTTTGCTGTGGCTGGAAAGTACGGCAGTTGACCAGGCCCAGCTTTATTGCAGACATCTGCAGACTCCCATACACACCTTGCACGGAAAGAAACAGGAGCCTTCGGCGATGTTTCCAGCGAGACACATTGATGTATGAAACTGACATGCATGTGATCCATGCAGGTGTTGGACACCGTGGCATCGCGAGCAAGGCCACTCCGGGTTGTGACGTCTACCTTTGTTTCGATATGCGTGAATTTGCTAGTGACCCCAACCCTATGGTTTGCTTTAATCCCTTTATTAAAATAGTATGCTGGATTATCAAAGACGGGAACAAGTACGTTTTGCTGCCATTCATTAGTGGGAAGAAGTATGATTTGTTACCATCAGTTTGCTGGTTTGGCAAAGATGGGAAGAAGTACGATTTGTTGCCAACAGTTTGTACTGGAATGTCAAAGGCGGGGCTGAATTAGGCTGAATTGTTACCATCAATTTGCGTTGGATTGTGAAAGACGGGGAAGAAGTACGAATTGTTGCCAATTGTTTGTGAAGACGGGAAGAAGTACGATTTATTGCCATCATTTTGTGCTGGATTGGCAAAGATGGACAGAAGAACGATTTGTTGCCATCAGTTTGCGCTACGAAGGCCTTGCCAGGAAGAACCTGCTCTCTCTTTCTCTCTCTCTCTCATTTATATGTTCGTCTCGCTCTCTCTCTCTTTTTTCTCTCTCTGTCTCTCTCCTCTCTCACTCTTCTCTCTCACTCTTCAAGACTTCTCTCGCTATCTCTCAGATCTCTCTTTCATCTCCCTCTTATCTCTGTTTCTGATCTCTCCCACCCCTCCGCTCTCTCAGCTCATCCCTCTCTCGCTCTCTCTCTCTCTCTTTTCTCTTCGCTCCTTCTCGCTTTTTTTGTTCCCTCTCTTTCTCTCTCTTTCTCTTCTCTCTCCCTCCCTCTCTTCTCTCTTCTTATGTCTCTTCTTATCTCTCTCTGGTCTCTTTCTCATTTATGTCTTTTTCTTGGTTCTCTCTTTCCCTCTCTGATCTGATCTCTCCCATATTCCCCACATCACTAAGGGAGGTTCTGTTGCTTTGCCCGCCTTCGCCCACGCTTCGCCCGCGATTTTTTTCGTTTCCCGTCCGCCGCGCAGCGCCACATGCAGACTCCAAAACTACAGATGCCAGACATCATGCCACAGACATCACATCGCACCACAACAGCGCATCAGACATGCAGGCATACAGTACACACGCCACGCATTACGCCGACACAGATCCATTCCTTCGGGAGCTTTCAATCACTTGAAACAAAACTTCACAAACCCATCCCTTAGGACCTTTTTTTCGCGCCTTCACTGTATGGAGCTCCGTGACGACAGGTGTGAGGATGTCGCACCCCACCTGCCTCATCCTCGTGACTGTCTGCACACTTGAGACGCGAACAACAAGCGAGCTTCCAAACGTGACAACAGATACGAGGATCCCCACATTCCCCATCCTGGCAATTAACAAGAGTCTGTACTTTTGAGACGTGAACGGCAAACAAGACTCCAAAAGTGACGAGGGCATACCTTTTCTCCAAAGGGGCTCTTCCTAAAGCACAGCTTCCGGACTCCGGGAGTGTTGGGCCCCTTGGCTTGAACCACCCTGGAGAGTTTAGGGTGTTCTGCGCGGCAATGAGGTCCAGTTGCAGAAACAACGGGGGGCTTTGGGATCTTTTTGTCCTTTGAGACAGTTACGAGGATGGCGCACCCCACATGCCTCATCCTCGTAACTGCGACGACAGTTCCGAGGCGTGCGCATGTCAGACGCACCTTAGAGGCTTCATGACGCTTTCGAACTTTCCGGACACTTTCGAACATGAAATGCACAATGCCGGGTAAACTCCTGAATCTCTGGAACCCCGACTCTTAACACGGGAACCCTTCTGCTAGGCATCCGGGAACAATGAGCTAAGAAGTTAGTTGTTTGGGGGGTTTTGAGAACTCAAGGGGCAAGCTTGCATGTTGCAACATTCTGTTTATCCTGCGGTACCACATGTCGATTTCGACAGTCAAAGGGCATCAATGCGGTACTTAAAACACGAAACATTATTTATGCAAGTGCAAAAACTGGAGAACTCCATGCTGCGCAACACAGCATGCGCCGAATGCATCCTCGGATGCGTGTCCCATGTCCATGATTCTTGCGGTCGGCTTCAAGTGAGTGACCAGCTCGATGTAGGCCACAGGAGGCTTTGTAGCAGAAGTGCGGCAGGTCTTTCGTTGGGTGCAGTTTATGTTGCTGTGTCGGCAGCTCTTTGAAGAGGCAGCTGGTGGCAGATGAGGTTTCAGAAGCCGCTGCCAATCTCAGCGCAGGCGCGATCATTCAGGAGCATTTCGGAACAAACTCGACAGGGACATGTCATGATACGTGAGTGATCGTTCGTGTTGTTGCAGCAGTGAAAACGACCTCACACTGCACAGAACTGGCGCAACTCGTGCAGACGAGGCAGGAGCAAGGCCGGAGCAGGACTCCTCATCGAATGTCAATGATTTGCTTTGCGCATATGCACGGCCAACACTAAAATTTCATTTTTCGCCAACGTAAGGAAGCTGCAGGGTGATTTCAGCTAGCAGGTACCTGTAAGCATTGATTGAGCGAGCCCTGGCCACTGAGGAGCGATATTGCTGGACCAGACAAAGAGCATGAACAAAAGTTCTGGCGAGATTTGAAGCAACACTGCCACATTGATTGGCTTTTGGTGACACTGTTGGATTTGAATTTCTAAGGTCTCGTTACGGGTTTCCTTTCAATGTTGGGACATGTTGGGACATGCTTCCTCTTTGGTCCTTGCATGTTTCAGCGACAAAAGATGAGAAAGTTTGTTTGGTGATTTTTGTGTTTGGCCAGATGAGGGGATCAACCGCTGAGCACAAACTCGCATGCTGCCCACACCGTGGCAGGAAGAAAGTCCGCGAGCACGAGCCCCAGCACGCCTTTCTCAGACCAGAATAAGGCACAAGAAAAGCTTGAGATAGGCGCACGCCCTGCAGGAAAGTCTGGAAGAGGAGCCAAGCATTGCAGAAGGCGACATTCCACGACAAACAGCATGACCCAATCTTGTGCCTCATGCCGCACAGGGAACGCGTTCAATGCTGAAGCCACCAGCTGTTGGCTTGGACTATCTCGACTTCACGTAGCAGCAAAAATCAACTCCTCTT